AGTATTTGCCTACTATGCTTAATATAGGTATGCATACCTATTTTAAGCATATGCACTACATATATAAATTAACTTGGGAATACCATGCTGATATTTTGTGCGAGAAACTTAGCTCTGTAAATTATTTGATTAGATATATAAGGAATACTGTGGATGTATCAGTCCTCAGAATGATGTACCATGGTCTTGTTCAGTCAAAAATTACCTATGGTATTATTTTCTGGGGAAAATCTTGTTTTGCAAATAGAGTGTTTATTCAACAGAAGAAAATAATAAGATGTATGGCTGGAAAAAATCAATCGTTTTCGTGTAAACCATTATTTAGATCTTTAAGAATTTTAACTTTAACTTGTTTATATATCCAAAATCTAATTATATATATTTATAAAAATAAAAATTTAATACAATCTTATGAAAATATACATAATTATGAAACAAGACATAAAGAAAATCTATATCCTCCATATTCGAGGTTATCTATAAGCCAATCTAGTCATATATACCAAGGTATCAAATTTTATAATAAAGCTTTTAATTTAGTAAACAACTGTAAAAGTGTGTATGTCTTGAAAAGTCGCCTTAACCCTTTCAATACGACTTTTCGGAAATTAATTTAAAACTTTTTTTTTAGTGTTAAAACTATATTTGTGTTAAAAATAGTTAATTGACTGAATGACAAATTTTTAACTTTGGTGGTATTTGAAAAAAAAGGCCTGGGACAGATTTATCCCTGCAGTAATATGCCCTGGGATATATTTATCCCCACACTAAAGAAATTCTACTATTTTTGAAAATGTATATTATCAAAAAACACTGATGGGATAAAACTATCCCCTGTCATATTACTGCAGGGATATTTTTGTCCCAACGTATATTTTGAGGAATGAGTAGTGAAGTACAATGCACATAGAGTATCACAAAAATTTAAGCAAAATTTACACAAAAACTGCACAAAATAGGTTATGTGACTGGTATTTTTCAATTTTAAGCGTGCAATGGCCGAAAAACTGCTGGTTATTGTTCACTTGGCGTTAAATAAATTAAGTTTTTATTACTGATATCCCAAGTCAAGACATAGAAAAACTAAATTGTCCCAACCCTGTTTTATTTAAAGGAACTTAATTAAGTAGAGAAATTTTTAAATTTTCTTTGGGACGTATATATCCCCGCAGTATTGAAAGGGTTAATGCATTATTTTTGGATAAAGTTTACTATAGTGTAGAAGAGTTTTTAAATGATAATTTTAATTAAGTGTTTTTAGTCAACTCTGGCTCTAGCAATTAGCAATTGTATATTTTTAATTTGTATTTCTTAAACTATTGTATTGTATTTTCCTGACTAGTCTAATAAGTATACACTGTTATCTCTGTAATACTTTAAAGATGAATAAACTATTATTATTATTAAACTATTATTATTATTATGCAGTGCATAATAATCAAGTAGCCATAGCTAAACTAGCAATAACATTTTTTATCTACTCTTACATTGACAAGCTGTAACTTTATGGCGTTTTAGTCACGGGCTGAAGTTAACAACAGTGGCTTTTGGGCATTTTAGTCACGGGCTGAAGTTAGCTTTATTATAAATTGCGAAAAAGTGAGGTTAAATTCGTCAAATGTCAAAAATTTATGAATTAAAATTGGCTTTAAATTCTTATTTTTGTTCGTCGTAGATAAAGTATACACTGAGAAAACAGTTTGTTTTTTATAAAGCAGTTTTATTTATATATAATAAATGCTTTATTGCATATAGGGTTAATAAACATCCCATTTAAATGTAATAAAGCGTTTGTTTTTGTATGTTTCTTAATAAATAATATATTTATTTTTTACTACGATCTTAAAATATTAATAATTAAAACACATTTATTAAAAGTAAAAAATTTATTTATTTAAAACAAATTTATACCATATTGCATAAAAATAAAACCTGTTAATAATAAACAAATTTAAAGCAATAAAAATTGAATATTTATTTATTGTAAAACAATGAATTTGTTAATAAATAACAAATTTTAAATAATAAAAAATGTTTCAATATTTATAATAATAATGTATATAGTTGTTCTTCTAAATACGCCAATGTTATTTGTGTTTTCTGTCTTTAAGATCGGTCATTTGATTTTGTACAAAATGACTATTCAATGTCATGACTTAAAGTTGGTTCGTTTAAAGGGTTTGCTAATTAACGTTTGGAGTATGGACAACACTGGTTGGCCATCCTCATTTATTGTAAACAGCAGGTTGATAGGAATCTTCTGTTAAAAAAACAACTGACGCCTCTTCTATTCTAAAATAAAAATTTGGAAATAAACAAAAAAATATATATAGCGAAGATCTCTTTAACTAAGAATATCACAACAGAATGTAATCATTGCAATGATGCATTAAAAATCACATTTTAGTTGCTACTTTGGAAGTTTGAACCTGATGGTAAATATTCCGTCATAGAGCTTTTCATTTATTAAAATCATTGTTAAAGAAGAAAAAAACTGTTATAAATTACCTTTACAATTGGACACAACATCACTTAAACCGAGATCGATAAGAAAGTCCTTTAAATTCATTTTTTACAGGTACTTCACTACTTCACAACATAAAACTAAAACTAATGATGCTTACGCGAGGGCGTGAAATAAGTAAATAACGTATTTTAGGGCATATTTAGCAAATTTTGCAAAATATATTTATTAATAAAAAATGATTTATTATTTTTTACTTAACACAGCTTTATTGTAAACAAAACGTGTAACATTTAATAAAGAAAACATATTCAACAATAAACATTTATTTCTTACAAATGCATTATTTATTAATTAAAATTGTATCCTTTGTTTTATGGAAGTTGGACAAAATATATTTATTTATTTAAAAATATGATTTATTTTTAATTAATAGATATATCTATGTTTTAAATGTATTAATCTGTTTGGTTTTTATAAAGAAATATTTATTTCTTTTAAGCAAACTCAATAAAACAAATGGCATATTAAATAAAAATATATTTATTTTGCCGTATTGAAATAATAAACAAATATTTGTTATTCAGAAACAATATTTTTTAATTATAACTGAAAACTACCAAATATATGATTTGTTTATTATAATAGTATGATTTCTCTCAGTGTAGTATGAAACTCGTTTTATAAACTTCTCTAGAGACTCGTTTTTATTAAACACTCGCTCGCAAGCTTCGCTCGTGCCTAATAAAACTCGGAACTAAAATGGCGTTTATAAAACTTGATACATAATATACTATTATCTACTCTCCCATTGATAAGACGTGACCTTATGGCCTTTTAGTCACGGGCTGGAGTAAGCAACACTGACTTTTGGGCCTTTTAGTCACAGGCTGAAGTTAGCTTTATTATAAATTGGGAAAAAGTTAGGTTAAATCCGTTGACAGCTGATAGATGTCAAATTTTTAACAAATAAAATTGGCTTTAAATTCTTCTTCGTAGATAAAGTAGGTACAGGGGCATTCCACGTTACTCGGTAATTTTTGTCCCGCCCGTCACAATTAAAAATTGTGAGTAAAAACCACAAGTTATAAAATTAATATTTTATAATATTATTTTTATTGTGCTTATAACTTATTAAAAGCATAATAAAACAATATTTTTAAATAAATTTTATAACGTGTAGTTTTTACTCACAATTTTTAATTGTGACGGGCGGGACAAAAATCCCCGAGTAACGTGGAATGACCCTACAGTATGTAACTCATTTTATAAACTTCTCCAGACACTCGTTTTTATTAAACACTCGCTTGCAAGCTTCGTAATAAAACTCGTAACTAAAATGGCATTTATAAAACTTAATGCATAATATACTATTAACGGCCCTAATATTTATTTATAAATGGATTTTTAAAGTAGGTATTTTAGTATTGTGTACCCTGATCTTAACTATTAATTTTGAAGGTAGGATGCATTTTTATATCTAACTTATTGTGGTAAAAACCATTCTAGAATGGCTTGATTTAAATAGTAATCTAGCGGATCGACATACATTGTCCTGCCCGAACGTTGGCTAGAACCCGATTGCAGCGACTCCAATAATTATTGAAAATCAAACCATCCAGGGACCCACTCAAACACACAAAATTTTTTATCAAAATTGGTCCAGCCGTTTATGAGTTCAGTGACATGCATAGTGCCTTTAGAATATATAAAAAACTGTCTTATGACATGAGTTCTTTATAGGTAGGTACTTTTTATCTATGTCAAAATTAAAAAAAAAATACAATTATAAATTATATTTGCGTGTCATGTGCCATGATCGTACTGACGCCATGGAGACGATACGAAACGCAAATGCGTATCGTACTGTGATTATTATGGCTACCATAATTTATGGTAGCCATTGGTAGGTATACAAATAGAAAAAAGATTATGCATCAAGTTTGATAAACGGCATTTTAGTCACGACTTTAAACAATTAATAAAAACAAGTGTCTAGAAAAATGTATTAAGGAGTTGCATAGGTAGACTACTTATAGGTATCTACGCGGCAAAGAAGAATTTAAAGTCAATTTTATTTGTTAAACATTTGACATTTGGTACCTAGGTATATTTAGGTTATGTAGAACTTTCAAGCTACAAAACCTATTAAGTAAAATCTATTGAGAAACGAACAATCTATAGCCAAAAATTATGTTTGTACCTAGCTTAATCAAATTAAAAACATCCAATCGAGCGTCCAATTTATCCCACCTGAGGGTACGTATACCTATAGGTAATTTAAATATTCCAAACTTATTTATTTTTCATTTTAAAGGAAAAGTGAAAGCTACTATAAATAAATTATTAAATGAATTGGTAATGGTTAAATTTAAAATGAAGGTGGTTTAAAAAATAAAGACTCGGGAATGTGGATTAGATCGCGCGATTTTTATTAACATTTTGCTGATCGAAGTTAAATAAAAAACAATACACAATCGTATTACCTACCATCAAATATGGAATGTGGTAAATAGAAAAAAAAGGTTAAACTTACCCTTTGTGATTGTTAAATCGATAGGCAGTAGAATAATCCAAAAGTATAAATATAAAGTAATCCAATGTAAGGGTTGTTTCACTAATAATACAAAAACAAAAACTTCACAACAATTAAGAAATGTCTTTTTAAGTTGAACAAACGATAATCGGCTTGATTAGACCCGTCGGCCGGAGTTGTTCGGGTCAACACAAAATTTCACTGTGGTAATGGGCGAAAACGAGCGGATACAAAAATAACCCACTACGTGGCAGTGAAGAAACTTAAATAATAGTTTACACAAACACAAAACGTTTATCGTTAAGTAAACATTTTTAACTTGACACACTAGAAAGACTACACTTGCATCGTGATTCCAAGTTTTGGCGAAGCACTAGCAATGATGGGATGGCACAACAAACACGTAAAACTTAGCTTTTTCTTGTCTGAACCCTTTGGTGGTAGGCTGAGATGCAGAGGTATTTTGGCCCGCAAAATTAATTAGTTACGACAATAAAAAAGTGGCAGGCGCGGTTCCGTTGTTGCCGCTCGACACACTACGCCCGAAGTTACAAACTCGAATGAGCGCGGCGCGCGGAGCCTCCGCGGCGGAGGAAAGTACAAGAAACTTCTAGTCGGTGACCCAACATCGATCCCGACTTCTCACGAGCTGGCACGAACCGCCTTATAACGTGACGTCATAATAATAATCCGGTTTTGTTCCCCGAACATACAAAATTTGTTGTCAAACTAGATAGCTTAGATGGTAGGGCGTTTGCTTTGCATGCGAGAGGTCCCGGGTTCGATACTCAGAAGTTGTCGAATTTTTTTTACTTTTTTATTTCATAAATTTGTTGTTCCTTTGTTAAAAAGTGTTTTATTTTTATCGTAACATAAATTTGCCCATTTTAGTTGGGTTTTTTCAAAAAAACTTTTTTGCTCAATGGGGCGGGGGGGGGGGCAATGGGGCGGGGTCGGTTGGGTTGTGTTGTTGAGTTTGGGTTGGTTTGGTTTTATTACGTAACTAACGTGCCCTTAACATGTATACAGGTACAATTTATTATTATATTATTGTTGTGCCGTCAATTTTAAATGATAATGATGCATTGTATAATATATAATAAATTCTTTGTCCAGTCGGGATCGATGTTGGGGCACCGGCTAGAAGTTAGTGAAAGTACATCGTTTGCCGCTTATTGGTGGGGGGACCTGCGAAAGCTTCGTTCAAAAGGAATTTAGGTATTTGACTAAACGATGAGTGGAATAATTGATCCTTGTAAAAGTTTTTGCAGAGCTGAATTATTACGGCCAGAATTTGAGCGCGCATTATTTTTACAATGTTGACCTGCGACATAATTAATATTTTTGTCTAAAACAATATTTCAGAATTATTAATTAATATTTTAGTTTGAAACCTTTAAATGTAGGTAGGTATAACTTTGTAAATAATAGGCATTGTGTCATTGTCTAAAATAGGAATAGGAAAATATTCTCGAAAATATTGACCGATATATACAAAAATGGTGACATATGGGACATCATGTCCCGGACATGTTTCAAGATAAAAATAAATATTTTTTCAAGAAGAATGCTTGTGTTAATTCTAAACTATAGGCGGAATTTTTTTCCGTTGCCATGAGTACCTATGTACATACTTAGGTAATTTAAAATTAGGTTGCAACCTAATTTTACCATGGTAAGTAGGTACTACTAAATTTACAAAAACTTTGACAGACACTGACATTGACATTCAGGCCAATTGACTAACATGAGTCGTTAACGTTAGCCACTCGAACTACTGGTTATCCGTATATTCAATCGACCTGATTGGCCGATAACCACTGATTCTAATGGCTAACATTAACGACTCATGTTAGTGAATTGGCCTGATTGTTTATTAAGTTGATTGGTGTTCTCTGCCGTGCTTAATGAAAACGCCGTAACCAACAATTTTGCGATTTTTGTTTTACGGCATTTTCTACTAGAACAATTTATCCTGTGTCTATCCCCGGTACTCAAAAAACCGTATATATATAGATACGGTTTTTTGAGTACCGGGGATAGACGCAGGATGAATTGTTGTAGTAGAAAATGCCGTAAAACAAAAATTGCAAAATTGTTGGTTACGGCGTTTTCATTAAGCACGGCAGTTCTGCTCATCAATGGTTAGTGTTTTTAATCAATGATTACTGTTTTATTGTCTCCGTGCCCAATTAATTAATTAATTACTCGATTACACTCGAAAAACTGATCTAAGGTCACCTTAGTAAGGTGTCAAGGTGTCAAGTTGTAAAAAAATCATAAAAATGCCAATATCTCAAAAACTAACGATTTTTAAGTTCATGTTTTGATTTTTTGATTGGTCATGAGTTGGCCCCTCAGTCCTCCAAAGGATATAAAGGACACCCTGTATACTAAAATGTAAATGGTTTTAAAACCTGGTGTTAAGTCCTAAAATCATAAAGCAGTATTTAAAATATGCTCGTTTATAAAAACCCTGCAGCATACCGCCCAAACAAATAAGGTCAGAGTGCAAAAAAACATTTAAATAAATTCATGTGTGTACGTTTTAGCCAATCCAAACATTATTATAGTGTAAATAGTCTATAACTATAATTACATTAGGTATTGCCGGAAAAATAGTTATAGTATAGTATAGACTAATGACTCAGAGCTGTTCCGAGTACAAACAAGTACTTAAAAAAAATCAAAAAGTAGTCATGAGTATACTCAAAAAGTACTTTGTACTTGTATACAAGTACAAAGTACTTTTTCTAAAAACTTTTAAAATGTAATTTAGGTTTCAGTATCTAGCAAAAAAAATTGTTAAAAGTTAAATCAAACAAAATATCAGGTTTAGGTCACTTAAAAGTATACCCACTATAGTGGGTCATAAAACAACATTTTTAATTTATAAAATTAGTATAAATAAAATACTCACACATAAAAAGATATATATTTATTTTAAAAACTAATTAGCTAATATTAAAAAAATCAAATACACGTCCCAGTAAGCACAAATACGTCCTTAGGCTGTCCTCGGGACGTCAGCTTGGGACATTGCGGAAGTACTCAGGACGTCCCGCAATGTCCGTTTGACGTCCCTAGGAGGTCTACAGACGGCCAAATGATACACTTTCAGATGTCCGTAGGACGTCCTGATTAGGACTATATCGGGATATACTCAAACCAGCTTATTAAGGTACTGTGAGGGCTTTTGGAGACTTTTCTTTGGAAATCCGCATGTTGTCATGATAACTATACAGGGTGTTCGGAATAGTGCCACTAGCACATTTAAAAGAAAATAGATTTTACCCTTAGCGGCTTGGCATCCATATTTGTTTCAGCCACCCAATATTATTGGATCTTGCTTTTGGTAGATTGTAAAGAAAACATTTTCTTAGCTTTACATTTGATCAGACTTAGAAATTACGTTGAACCAAAAATAAATAACGAAGCCGAAAACCTTGTGTTGCGGCCATGATACTTTCTTCTTCTTCTCTCCCCTTCTTCCGCTGACGGATATGACACTCCCCTAACGGATATTAAACTTACGCGCTAAATTCAAATATTTAAACGTTCCTTACTATGACATGTGCACATGGTGCACCAACAGTTGGCAAATTCGGCAACTTTTGGAGCACTTCGAGTAACGATCGGTACAAAACGGTGCACAGTGGCCGATTTTTCAAAAAAAGTGGTCAAAAGTCGAAACAAGGTCCAATTGAAGCCAAAATTGGTATGGCAGGGTTTTTGGAGTCGCTCTTTTTAAATTTGTAATTTATTTTTAAAAATTCAAAATGGCGAATGTAAAATGGCGTACTTGTACCTTTAAAAATAGTTCGATTTAAGCGAAATGACCTGCACCGGGGTTTTTGAGGTCGCTAGTTATGCATTTGAACTTTTTTTCAAATTTAAAATTGCGAATTTAGAATGACAGACTTACTGTCAAAAATAATTATTACATTATAATCTAAGTCGAGTCACACCTATCAAAAGTGTTGGGTCCCGAAAAAAATAGACGATATATATATATATATATATATATATATATTAGGGTGAGCCAAAAACACTAACCTATCGGATTTATGGGTTAAAATGAACCTACATACCAAGCAAAAAATTTCCCTGAAAGGCAAAATTTTTTGCTCAATTTTAAAAGGTGTCCGTGAGCATTCCATTGAAATAACACGTAAAAAAATCTTTTTTCATTAAAAAGACTATAACTTTTGAACCGTTTGAGATAAAATTTTTTACGTCACGGATTCTTGTAGAGCATAATAAATTAAATTTCCCAAAGAATCTATACCAGAATTTTTTTTTTTAATTCAAAAATTCGTATGTTTGAAAGCTTTGAAAAGTGTAAAAAATCACTAAACCCTTTTACGTGTGGCTTATTATTATTTTTGTCAGTAAGAATCGTCATTTTAAACCCGCCATTTCAAATATTTAGACTATATTATATACCATATTATATGATACAATCATGTATTTTTCTGTTATGAAGAATTATTTATTTCACCCAACTCAACTTATATATAATACCTGTCAGAGGAAAATTCATCTCATTCATCAGAATCTGAACTAAGATCAGAATTCCCTGATGTTGAATTTACGCTTGTAAAAGTCAATAATTTTATTGCATCCTTTGAAAGAATGTTGTTTTTTTTCGGTGGATCCAATCTCAAACTTGAAATTAATGGGTCTGAGGACACGAGCAACCAATGAAAAAGGTCTGTCATGGTGCTATTCCTAGAGCATTTTCGAGAAAAATATTCACGATATCTCTTTAGTACAGTCATCTTAGTCAAAAAAGGGGATCAACCTCGGAATCTAACGGAATAAGATGAATTTTTGTGACAACCTTTATTTTAGCATTACAAATGTTGTCTCAAAAGTCACATATGCCAACGTGTGAGCGGCCTTAGATATTCAAGGTCAAAGGTCGCAAAAATCAGTTTTCTGAGAATATCTCGTTTTCTCTGCCTCCTATCGTATTTGCATTTATAATAAAAGTTGTAGAGAATAAAATTCTCTACAAATTTTGTTTACAACATTTTTTTATACGTCGAACCGTTTTTGAGATAGAGGGCGCTCAACTCAACTCATTAATCGCACGCTAATAAAAAATTCTGCAAACATCGAGATAAAAACAGACTTTATAAACTTAGTAGCAAATATTAGCAGGAGATATTGTAAAAAATCAATTTATTACACTCCACCTTTTATGAAAAAATGTACTAGACCACTCATCTCGGCCACTCTCATAACTATTTTTATGCGTTTTGATAAAATGACAGCACAAAAAAATCAGCCGTGTATGGTTATGTTTAATATCAGTTTTTGCATTACGAATATTTTATTTATTCTAAAATAGTTAAGATGTATGCTATAAATACCTTTATTGACACCTTCCATTCGAAAAAATTTAATAAAGTCTTTTTTAAACACTGTATGGACACTTTAATTAGGGCGCAAAATTCCAGACCTGAAAACGTGTCGAGCGCGATTTCAAGAACTGTCATTTTGATTTGCTCTAACTCTGAATATATTCACGGGAACTGATTTTTACTTTGTGACGATACACACAAGAGTTCCCTAGTCAGTATTA